CTCTGCCTCTCTGTAAGTCCTGGCTCTGCGCTCTTCCACGCGTTGGGCCCCAGGCTGTCTCAGCTCCAGGCAGACATCCTGCTGGCAGAGAGAGGTGTCTCCTTCCCAGTACAGTAGTTCCAGCAAAAGTCTTAGAACCCCTCCTGAAAAATCAGGCTGTTGACAGAGGACGGATGAAATCTGGGTAGACACAAATGACAGATGGTCACTGCAGTGTGGATGGAGAGGGCCAGAGATGGGGGCGACACACAGGGGCACAGACCTGGATGGAGACAAACTTCTGGACTCCTCTCTCAAATGCGGCCTCCTCAGCTTTTGGCTGCCTCTCGTCCTTAGAACCTGAGAGGAGCTTCTCCAGTCTGCAGTCCCCTCCCTAGAAAGCTGGGGGCCACGTGGGAACACTGTGGTCCTGTCATGGCTCATGGTCCACCTGCTGACTAGTCGCCCACTGAAGCACCACTGAAGACCCCAGGAAAAGGGTCTCCTTCGGGTCCTGAAGGGGTGAGGGAGGGCAGGTTCAGATACCTCAGATGGGCATGCGTCACCCAGAAATTCCATCAGTTTATTTCTGAGGAGCCCCTGGCAGAGCTTTCTGGGTGGCCCCCAGAGGGGTCTGGCTAGGGCCTGTAAGCCCAGGCCCTCAACAGCCCAGGAAGCAAAATCTCTACTCTCAGCGCAAGGGAGTTGTTGGAACGCTTCCGGATACCCTGGGTGCCATCTCCTCCCCACCCCTACGCCCACCTGGGGTTGCGGGCTTCATTGTAGGTGTCACTGTCTCACTCTGGTCTTTACTCTCCTGATCTGTCAAATGGCATCATGGGTGGCAAACCAAATTCTCCAGGGGCCTTTCTATTATTAATATATTCATTTATAAATAAGTGATGCCAGGGAGTGATAGGGACTGTGGGGAAAGGAGTTCACAGCCCTGGCTGAAAAGGGACAGCCATTGTCACACCCTGGATAGCTCAACACTTGCCGGAAATCCAGCCCTCAGGTATAATTTTATACGTTTTGACAATTTTAAAGTCATAATCCACTTAGGACTGCATTTGGCCTGTGGGGGTCAGATGACACCTGTGGTCCCCTCACTCTCCCTGCTACCAATGGATTCCCATTCAATTTGCACTTGGCCTCTCTTCAAACAGCTGGTGAGCCCCAGGGAACAGGTGTCTCTTCCTACATTCTCCATGTCTGTGAACCTCATGTCGAGTGGCAGGCTTTGGGCTTCGACCAGCCTTTTTGTGTCGACCCAGCTCTCTTGCGGAGGGTCTGTCGAGTGGCCCATCAGGAGCCTGCAGGTGCCCACCATGGTGTGCACCTCGGTGGGGCAGAGCAGGCCAGAGAGCCTCAGAAAGGACTGGAAAGAACTTGCCAGCTCACGGCAGAGGCCACACTGGGATCAGAGCACAAGGTTCAAACTAGACCAGAATCATGCATGTCAACGGTCATCTGGCTCCATTACACACAGATGGAGAAAGAGGGGTGGGGAAATCGTGCTTCTGGCGGTCCCTTCCCACAGCTGGCCCCGTCGGCCACAACCTAGGCAAGTCCCAGCTCAGCTCCAGCAGCAATGAAGGGTAGGCAGGGCCAGGCATGGTGGCAGGGGCCTCCGGGATTAGGGAGCGGTCTCAGTAGGCTCCCAGGCAATGGTGACGGTGGCACAGCCCAGCGCTCCCGCGCAGGGCCTGCCCTCCACCCTCCACTGAGCTCGGGCCACCGAGGGCACGGCTTGGCAGGAAGAGTGGCCTGGAAAGAAGCCGTGCCCGCGCTGGACACCGCCCCAAATGGCTCAGAAACCACAGAAGCTGCTTCCCAGTCTCTAAGACGCGGGCGGGAGGGGGAGTTGCGAGCCCCTATCTCCCAGTTGGCAAAGCCAAGGTCGGGTAGGGGCCAGGCTGGGTGACCTGGGCCGGATCCCACGCTCTGGGCGCGCCGCCCAGTCCCGACGGCGGGGGGCTGCCGAGTAGCCCGCCCTGGTGCCGGGCGCGCACCTGGCCGCAGTCCCAGCCAGGTGTCTGGCCCGGGGGCTGAGCCCGGCCGGCCCGCCGCGGCCCCTCCCTGCCCCCGGTCGATCCGGCGCGGGCACGTGACCCAGGGCCCGGCTCCCGGGAGTTGCGCGCTGACGCCGCATCACCCCACTCCGGGCCGGGCGCCCATTGGCTGCGCCGAGCCCGCGCGGGCGGGGCTTGCCTGGCTCTGCGCCCCTGCGCCCGGCCGCCGCCCGCTCCCACTGCCCGGCCTCCAAAGTCGGGGCTACGGCGCTGTGAGGTCCCCGGCAAGTCGCTTCACCTCCCCTGCCTCAGTTTCCTCTTCTCATCTGTACAATAGGATGGGGGGTAACAGCCCCATCCTCCTAGGCTGTTGGAGGAGCGCACGGGTTAATACAGGAAGGTGGCAGCCTGTAAGCCCTCAGTGACTGTGGACGGGGCAGGACCTGCGGCAGGAGCCACTGAAGGCCAGGCCGGACCCCCGCCTCCTCCTCGGCACACTGGGTAGAGGGGCTTGTGTCCACCTTCTTTGTGTGTGCCAAGACAAGCAGGTTCCCCTGAAAAACTGGAACCCCACCCTCACCTTGAGGGTTGCCGGGGTAATCCCAGGCTGTGGAGCGAAGGTGTAAAGGCCTTCCAGCCGCCCCTCCTTTGGACCTTGCCCCATGGGGGCTTCAACCAGGCTTTAGTTTCAACTGGCATTTTATGGGCTGTAGGTCTCCTGTTGACCTTGACTTACCCTCTTTCCCTGTCCCCTAACTCCTGCAGTTACGGAGTGCATATTTATTGAGCTGTGCTCTTTACATATGTGGTAGTCATTTAAAAACAGTGAGTCTGGGCCGGGTGCGGTGGTTCACTCCTCTAATCCTAGCACTCTGGGAGGCCGAGCGAGGCAGGAGGATCACTTGAAGTCAGGAGTCTGAGACCAGCCCGAGCAAGAGTGAGACCTCGTCTCTACTAAAAATAGAAAAAGTTAGCTGGGCATGGTGGCGCATGCCTGCAGTCCCAGCTACTTGAGAGGCTGAGGCGGGAAGATCACTTGAGCCCAGGACTTGGAGGTTGCAGTGAGCTAGTCTGGGCCACGGCACTCTAGCCCAGGTGACAGAGTGAGACTCTATCTCACAAAAAACATGAGGAGGCTCAGTTGAGATGACGGCTCCAAAACACCCTACCTGCCTCTACAGAGTAACTGCAGGAAGGAGTGTTGCCGTTTTACAGACCTAGTAGCTGAGACTCAGAAAAGTGAAGTGGTTTCACGTCAGAGCAAGCATGTGAAAAGCTGCCTGACTCTGAAGAAAGTGGTCTTTAGGCTTCGCCCAGAAGCGCCCCCCACGTCCCTGGGAAGGGCTGTTTAAATTTTCAGGAAGCCACCAGATTCATAAGACCTCCTGAGTGTCTCCTGGGGTGGGGGGACTTAGGAGAGACGACCTGTGTTCCCTGCATTCCCAGCACAAGTTCATCTGGAGGGAGGTGAAGCCCTGGGTGCACCCTTGAGCAGGGCTACTTGTGGGTAAGGTGTGGTTTGGAGACCCTCATGGCTTCTGCCCACCCCTGTTCTGGGTAATTTTCCACAGCAGCCACTTCTGGGAGAGGAACAAAGAGATCTGCATGTCCAGGTTGAGCCCCAGGGACGTGGGCCTCTGTGGCTTCTCTCTCTCCCAGCCTCCCCCTAAAGTGCACCGCTAATTTTACTCCCATCGGGGGTGTGGTCAGACAGGGTATAGCTGGAGTCTGAGCAAGGCAGAGTTCAGGACAGCTTGACTCATTGAGGCCCAGGGCTAGGAGGGCCTGGGTGGGAGTCCAGACCTCTGAGTCTCCCTGGCTGCTCCACACCAAGGGTGCTGCTCTGTGTTTGCATACCTCCAGGGACAGGGAGCTCACTGCCTTCTCACATCCAGATACCTGAGTGTTGATTCTGGTTTATTTCAATCCACCTCATTGGGACCCCTTCCCTCCCACCTGACTGACCTGGCTGTGCCCCCAAGCCACAGGGCCCAGGCTTCAGTTTCCAGGCCTCTCCTTGGTCAGGCTGGCTGCTCTGACCTGGCCCCAGCCTGTTGCGATCCAGGGCAACCTGGCTCAGGTCCAAAGCAGTCTGCCTCTTCTTCCCTGTGGCCTCCGTCCCTGTTTTTGGTGTCAGACAGCCCTGAGGCCCAACCCTGCTATGGTTCCTGAGCGGCTTTGTGTGCTTGAAAGAACATGGTTGCTCTGGGTCTTCCCGGATACCGGCTTCCTCCTTCAAGAGCTAGACTGGGCCTGCTGGCCCCCAAGCCCCGCTCCTGCCCCCACAACCGGATCTGGAAGGAAACCAGATTTAGACCGGATGGGAATTCCAGCCTCTTCCAGGCTCTCCCTTCAGCCACTCCCGTCCTCAGGAGCCAGTCTTCCCACTCCTTTGCAGGGAGGGGGCTGGGTGATCTCACAGGCCGTGCCCCTTGGTCACCACTAACGTCCCAGCCGGCTGGTGGAGGGGCATCGCTAGGCCCACGTTACAGATGAGGGAAATTGAGGCATAGACTGATGTAATTGGCCCAGGGCCAGGCAGCAGACCTGGGACAGCTTAACTTGGCCCCAGGCGTGTCTTGTACTAGAGTCAAACTTGGGAAGGGACACTTGTCGTGTCCTCGCTCCCAAGTCCAGAGACCTCTGGGATGGGCCAGTCCGGGGCTTCCCTCAGCCCCTCTTTGGTGCTGGAGAGTGTGAGGCCGAGAGGGGCGGTGGGCTGCCCGAGGCTGCAGTGCGCCGGCTGGATTAAGTGATGGCTGGAGGGCACTGTGACCTAGGCGCACACCCGCCGGGCCCGTGCTCTGCGGGCGGAGCGGGCCGCTTACCGGGGGCGGGGCCTCCCCAGGGCCCCGCCCCGCCCCGCCCGCCCAGCGGAGCGGCCGCCGGGGAACCCAGTTTCTGAGGAACTTTTCCAGGGCGCCGGGCTGCCACCCAGGCCCGGGCGGGACGCGAAGGCGCGGAGAGGCGGCGGCGGCGCTCCCTGCAGGGCTGTGCGCGGCGGCGGGCCCGGCGGGCCGCCCGGCGGAGGCGGCTGCGCCATGGACGAGGCGCCCTTCAGCGAGGCGGCTCTGGAGCAGGCGCTGGCCGAGCCGTGCGCCCTGGACGCGGCGCTGCTGACCGACATCGAAGGTGCGTCTGGGCCGGGGCTGGAGGCCGCGCGGCGGGGCCGGCTTCGCCGCGGGCCCCGCTCCGTGCCGTGCACGCCCGCGCCGCCCGCGCCTCTGGGCCGCGCGTGGCCGCGGGGTCGGCCGCCGAACCTCCGGCCGCCGCGTCTCGGCGCGGCTCCGGGGCCAGGCCGCGCCGGGCCGGGGTCCCTTGGCAGCTCGGGCGGGGCACGCGCGCCGTCCGCCGGTGCCGAATCCCCAGCCTTGTGGCCGCCGCGGCTGGGGCTTGGGACCCGGGTGTCGCCGAAGCCCCGCCCCAGGCGTGACGTCGGTGCGGGGTTACTCACGGTCATTCCCTCCGGCCCGAGAGTTCAGCTCGGCGCTGTGGCGCATGCGCATGCGCATAGCGCTGCCTCTTGCCCTTCTCCGGGCTCAGGTCTGGTTCTCTGGGTCCGCTATGGGCGGGCGTCGCTTCCGCGCACATTTATTGAGCATCTACTGAATGTCAGGCCTGCCTTAGGCACTGAGGATTCACAGATAGACCTAGGCTCCCCCTCCTCTTGGGAGCACAAAAGTCCCTAGGGACGTCTGCAAGGGGATATTTAGTTGCACCTTAGGGTGGGGCAGGGATGTGACTACTTTGGGTTGAGCGGCTGGTGGACTCTCTGAGTAGAGAGAGTTTTGAGCTGAGCCCTGAGCGTCAGCCCCGCGACTAGCAGGGGAAGATGTTCGCCAGGCCAGGGCTCCGAGGCCTAAGGTTGAGGAGTTAGGCTTGCAAAGGCGGGGAGGTTGGGGAGGTAGGTGAGAGGCCTGGAGCAGAGCCGTGGCACCATCTTCCTTGCACCTTTTACAGCATCGCTCTGATTGTTATACAGAGAAGGGGTTGGAGGCCAACGATGGCAGCAGGTGCCAGTTTGGGGCTCTTTGTGGACAGGGTAAACCGAAGCCCCCCACCAAATTACCCTTTGTGGTTGTACAGGAGTTTTAGCAACACTGACTAAGTTGTACTTGGTTGATGGGGAAACTGAGGCCAAGGTCGCAGGAACAAGTTGCCTAGACTCACAACCTGAATGGACATGTCCGCGGACTGTGTGGCCACCCTCGGGTTGGCAAAACAGACACATCAAAGCCACCCCAACTCCTGCCCTCCTGCAGTCCTGCAGGTTAGTCCAGCTGGCTGCCACCCCGGGGCCTTCTCGGCCCCTTCCTCCCGGGGCTGCGGTAGGGGAGGATCACACAGGAGAGGGCCTGATGGTGGGGCTTTTCTGAAACAGCCTTCCCCAGGGAAGGGCCATCCTTCACTGCATTCTGGAGTGATGAACCCTGAAATTCCAAGCCCGAGGGAGGTCCCAGCCTGACTCAACCACCAGTTCCACAGCGCTGGGCCCAAGGGGAGCATCTGAGAGGCACCATGACCCCGCTGGGAGGTCATGGGTTTTGGGGTCAGGACTTGAACCTAAAGGAACTACTCACTTCCTTTGCCATCCTGCTCAAGCCCTCTCACCCTCAGTTTCTTCCTCTGGAAAAATGAGGGTGCGAATGCTCCCTTCATGAGGGAGTTGGACAACAGAATCAGAGGTGTGTCTGGGCTTTTCTCATTGACTGATGGATAGAAACATCGTCTCTCCAGACCCAAAGGCCAGGCATGGGCAGCCATTGTGGGGGGGATTTGGGGTCAGACCCTAGTCTGTCCCTTGAGGACCAAGCAGCCCCTTCCTGCTGGGGCGGGGGCTGAGGTTTGCCCATTTCAGTGGAGGAATTTTCAGGTATTCAAACCACCTATTCTTCTCCCCAAATATATAATGCGTCTTTTTTCACTGTAGAAAAATCAGAAAGTACAGATGAGCAAAAAGAAACTAAAATCTTTAAACCCACCACCCAGAGATAAGTCCTGTTAATTATATGAGGGATTATGTCCTCTGTGTGTATGTGTATTTGGGGTATGGCTGCACACTCTTCATCAGCTTTTTAAAAACGTTATTGAGGGGCTGGACATGGTGGCTCATGCCTATAATCCTAGCACTCTGGGAGGCCGACGCAGGAGGATTGCTTGAGCCCAGGAGTTTGAGGTTGCTGTGAGCTAGGCTGACGCCACAGCACTCTAGCCCAGGCAACAGAGTGAGACTCTGTCTCAAAAAAAAATAAAAATAGAAACTTTATTGAGGCCGGGCGCGGTGGCTCAGGCCTATAATCCTAGCACTCTGAGAGGCCAAGGCAGGAGGATGGCTCAAGGTCAGGAGTTCAAAACCAGCCTGAGCAAGAGCAAGACCCCATCTATACTATAAGTAGAAAGAAATTAATTGGCCAACTAAAAATATATAGAAAAAATTAGCCACGCATGGTGGCGTATGCCTGTAGTCCAAGCTACTCGGAAGGCTGAGGCAGGGAGGATTGCTTGAGCCCAGGAGTTTGAGGTTGCTGTGAGCTAGGCTGACGCCATAGCACTGTACCCAGGGCAAAGAGTGAGACTCTGTCTCAAAAAAAAAAAAACACCTTATTGAGGTATGATTTACATGCCATAAAAATGTCCATTTTGAGTATATCATTCAATGATTTTTAGTAAATTTTTGGAGTTGTATGACCATTACTAGTTGTAGGACATTTTCATCACCCCAGTAAGATCCCTCATGCCTGTTTACAGTCCCCCCCCATTCCTACCTATAGCCTCTGGCAACCACAAATCTGTATTTTTAATAAATTAGAATAGGGTCCATTGGTTCACAGCAGATTGTACCTGCTGGGTTCCATGTCAACAGCCAGACAACAATCAGGTTCCCTCATTTATTCACCTGATCCCTGTTGATGGGCTTCTAGGTTGTTTGTCTTCGTAAGCTGTGCTGCAGTGGACACCCGAGGCCAGTTTCTGCCCAGCTCCTCATTTAGTTCTGTAGGTGCGGCTCTGGGAAGGACTTGCTGGTCAGAGGCTGAGCCTGCTTTTGAAGCTTCTGCAAAGTGTGGAGCTGGGCAGGTTCGATAAGGTCTAGAGAGAAGTGCTTTGGGGTGGGAAGGCCAGGTGCCCGAGAGGCATGAGAGATGACAGGTGGGCCAGGCAGGCCTCAGGTGCCAGGATGGGGAGCTGGACTGGCTGGAGGACAATGGGGGGTTGGGGCAGGGGTGTGCCATGCTTGAGTTGAATGTTATAAGTTCCCTCTGGCTGCCAGGGTTAGAGGTTATAACATGAATAGGGATCACTAATTGAGCACTTACTGTGTTCTAGGCACTGTGTCGATGATCTCATTGAATTCTCCTGACAACTCCAAGTAGGTAGACTTATGATGAAGATGAGGGCCTTGGGGAGCAGATCAGAGAGGCTAAGTGACTTGCTCAAGGTCACACAGCCAGATCGTGGCAAAGCCAGGATTCAACCCAGGCTGTGGGCTTCAGAGCCTATGCTCTTAGCGCCTCAGCTCCTAGCCACTGGGCTCCTAAGACTGGGGCTGGGTAGTTGAGGAGGCTGCTCCACGTGGGGCTATGCTAGGGGGCTGGGAGTGGGTCACAGAGGAGTCAGACGTCATGTGGCCCCCTCCCCCTTCAAGCCCAGTTCAGCCTTTGAGGCGTGAGACTAGGAGCTGGCACCAGGGAGCAAGCTGAGGGCCTGAAGCCACACCCAGCTGGCCCTGCCACCTGCCTTGGCCAAACTCTGTCATGTGAATAGATTTTGGGGTGGGGCCGCCACCATGAGTCCTGGTGCCCATGGGTGAAGGCACTTCCCTGGCTATAGTGCTGTCTAGGTTTGAGTCCTGCCTCTGCACCAAGACCTCAACGAGCTCCATCTCCTCCGGAGCCTTCCTTCCTCACTCTGTGCTTTGGGGTCCCTTGCAGCAGTGGGGAGAGGATGGAACATGAGAGCAGCCCTTACACATGTTGGGGATTATTATTAAGCCCGCAGCGGTCTTCACCTTCCCACTGAGGATTAATTTATCAGATCTTGCACAAGTTTGTAAGTGCAGGAGAGGCAGATGGAGACAGAGTTCTGAGCGAGCCCTGGGAAGGGGGCTGAGGGTCTCTTTCCTCTGCCAGGACACCTCTATATCTGCTCTTCATCTGCTGGACCTCAGATGTCAAGTCAAAGGTTGCTGCCCTGAAGCCCTCCTGGGCCTCACCTCACCTCCCTGCCAGCCCCACCTTGCCCTGAGCAGTGCTTTCCCCCAGCCCAGCCGTGTGGGACCTTGCTTCCGGGCCCAGGCCAGCCCTGTGGAAAGAGCACATTAGCGGCCCACTCTGCCACCCCGCACTTCTCCCCGGGATGCCGTGTGCCCTAGTCCTCTCCCTGTTCTCACCAGGCATGAGCAGTCCTTAGAAAACGCAGCTCTAGGCTGGTTACTGCCCGGCTCCCAGCACATAACTCCCCAGGTCTCAAACCATCCATGGCTCCCCAGTTCCTCTGAGATAAAGTTCCCTGTCTCCTCGTGGCATTCGAGACTTGTAAGGTTTGCCAGACCTGCCCCTCCTTTGACACTGCCCATCCATCCAGAACCTGCTCCCTGGGCACAGCCTGTGCTAGGGTGCCCGTTCTCCTCATCCTGTGTCCAGAGCCCCGAGCAGTGGTGTCTGAGAGGAGCCTCCCCTGTCAGATGTGTTCCCCTTCCTGTGCCTTTTTCTGCTTCTTGGTGTCCAGCTTGTCCCACCTTAGGGCAGCAGAAAGCAGAAAGCCCTCCCAGTGTGGTCATGAATTGCTGTTTCTCCTAAGGAAAGTGCCCTGCCCTTTCTGAACTGCAGGGGCCTCCCCTGAAAAGCAAGAGATGGAGACTGTAAGATTTGCTGCCTCTGAGCCCCCTGGCTTCAGCCCTGATGCTTCTGAGGGGGCAGGGTTGCGAGATGGGGAGCAGGGTGCTGGGAGAGGGTCCAGGGAGGCAGTGGGCGGATAGCTGGGAGTTACCTCCTGCCCGACAGTCACCTAGCCGGACACAAACATCCCAAGTGACCTGGTCAGCTCCAGGCAGGAGTCACCGTGTGGCAGAGGCCTGGGATCTGGACGTTCCCCACTGACAGGAGTAGCCCAGGTTAGAATTACTGTGCTGGCCG